CTGTGAGACTTTTTTTCTAGCAACAAATTCTCAATAAAATATGGTTCTCGTAGGTTCCCCAGGAAATATCTGTTAGAAATAAGGTTCCCCTTATAATATCTTCGCTGGGAACCTTATTTCTAACAGTTATTTCCAGGGGAACCTAGGAGAACCATATTTCATTGAGAATTTGTTGCTAGAAAAAAAGGCTCCCAGTAGAAATACGTGCAATAAAATATAGTTCCCCTGTGTTCCCCTGGAAATAACTGTTAGAAATAAGGTCCCCCTTATAATATCTTCATTGGGAACCCTATTTCTAACAGTTATTTCCAGGGGAACCTAGGGGAACCATATTTTATTGAGGTGAATAATTATTATTCAGGTGAATAATTCAGCCCTTATTGCCTCATGCGGGGCACGCGTAATGTGAGGCGAGCCTTGAATCGATCATTTGAGTCGATCATTAAAGACGATCACTTAATTGGATCATTTAAATCGATCATTCGTGGGTATGATGTCGGTTATGTTTATGAGTTTACTGTTTGTATATATTGTATTTCAAGAATTACTTCTCGCTCCTAGAGCATTGATGATTCGTTAATATTGGTAGCGTATATCTGGCCCGAGACAGTCAATATGGGGCGTTTTTTAAATGCTCTCTATAGGAATTAATCTCGGCAAATGTTCACATCCTAAGTTAACACAATCACTGCTCCAGAAATGAAAATATTGTAGGTAAATTTAGAACATAAAATTAACCTATATTGAAACCTCACTCTAAACAATTAAGCAGAGAATTAAATCAATCACGTCAAAATTACAAATCTGTAACCGCCGTTCAACTTTCCTACTTAAAATTGACCGGGAGACGTTCATCCGTAACGATAGCCCATGTAGTAGTACGGCTGCTATGCCGTGACCGTATCGATAGCGAAGGTTCTTTGCTGTAATAATGTTTCAAGTAGCCATAACGTTGTTTTAATTGTAGAGCGGCAATCTCAAAAGATTTTTAAAATTCCGCATGGCCGTAGATTTATGGGCTGTCGCATTTTGAAGTGGCGGTGATGGTTTCCACTTTAGTGACGTTGCTGCTAGCTCGTGGCTGAACTGCTGCTCCTGTATCCGACCGAACTTTCAACGTTACTTGAATGGATTGTTGGCGGTGCAATCGCTCATCGTCTGGTTGTTCTGGGGTTGTCTTGCAATAATTATTGAATATAGCGACCGCTGCGGCATTGCGGAGTTGTTGGCCGTACAGAAATATTGCGACGACGTGGCCGTCACTAAGATATTGTAGAAGCTCTAGCAGGAATAGCAGCTGTATCGATGAGTCGAAGTTTCTCGTGTTAGGCGGCCATATTTAGCGCCACCTGACTGATTATATATTTCTACCTGAGGACAGGGATCCGTTGACTAAGCGCGGGAATGATCAGTAAGACACCATCTATCTTGAGAACATATCTTGATACGGAGTGGATACATGAGTGTTATATTAGAGTATTAGGCTAAGACGTCGACCGTTATAGTTACTATATATAGGCGGCGCGCTAGTTAGTTACTGGGGGCCTTAAGGTCCCCGCCCCTTTAAAGAATCACGTCTTCCGCCCACTACTGACATCTTGATCGCGTGATGTGTCGCGTGATGTTATCCATGCTGACTCAGCTCTATATACAGTACTTTTCCATCAATCTCTATCACGTCTAGTGAATATAATGTCTCAATTACAAATTATCAAATCTTAGAATATAATTATAAAGAATGGAATGAGACGCCCGATTGACATCGGACACTAGCGACCGTTAATGTTCGAATACGGGCGTAACCGCTGGCCTCACGGCCGCAGCCGTCACAACATCCGCACATTGCAGACTGTGTTCCGTGACCGTGACCACTAAATTAAGAACAAAGAATCAAGATACGCTCCTTATATACGTCGCCAGCGCGCACAGTTTGCCTTTGCCCTCGAAAGAGACGCCGAATCCCTTAAATGAAGAAATTTTCCTCGTAATGGCTTGCCTACGTTCAACGTAAACAATGGTCGGTCTCGAGAACAAAGTGTCTCACACACTTCACCGCTTCTACACACATTCCCTTAGCCTTCTCAACACACAATCTTTTAATGTAATTCACAACTTAAGTAATTAATAATTCGCCCCCCGAACTACGTTCTATACACGTGTCGGCCGTTCGACTCGATCTTTTACGTGGATCATTTGATTTAATTATGTGTGTCGCGATCATGAGCGACGATCAATTAAATCGAATCACGCCGTTCATTTGATTACAGCCTTTCCGACAATAAATTGCATTGGTTATTTATTCTGAGAGTTTTATCAACTTTGATCGATTATTTTGATCATTTGATCTTAAACGATCGAGCGTCGATCGTTCAAGTCGTTTATATACTGTGATCATTTGTGTCGATTATTGGCGTCGATCGGTTGAGTCAATCATGCGTGTCGTTTGTTTGGGTCGATCATTCGTGTCGATCATTTGAGTCAATCATCTGAGTCAGCCATTTGTTCAATCAATAAATCCATTAGCAACTGGCACGATCTTTCAGTCGATGATGCAATGATTGGTGCAAAGTACATCATAAATATCATGCACCATCCCATCATTTTGGCACATTTTACCATCCAATATCAGCGTCCAATATCTTCCCAATTGCGTCTTCAAAACAGTCTATCTAATCGCTGGCCGATCTATGGCCATCGATATCTCACCAATAACTCAGCTATGATTCTCTAAGTTGTATAAGTGATACTCACCCTGCCTTGACTTAAACAAAATTTATCGGAGATTTTAACACGTATTTCAGTGGCCGCTCTTTATACGACCATGGGCACCTTAAATTATTATTGTTCATTTTTGGATACATTAGCATCAATTGAAGCTAGCCTTATCATTGGCATTTTACTCCGCAATAATTCAGGTTTTGTGTTTTTGTCGGTTAGTAGTGAAGCGACTTTGAAGTGAACTTTAGGCGGCGTTCATATGAGGCTTTTTGAGAATATCTCTCCATTTCTCGGTAATGTTGACCACGTGTAATGCATAACTCGTTGTTCAAACGCACCAAGCCAAAACCCATGAACGTTTGATGTCGAAAAAGAAGAATTGCATTTTCCAAATTCCTTTTAACGTAGAGCTTGAATGATTGACTTAATCATTTAAATTGCACGCGTGACCTGCAGGGCAATCTGTTTAGAAATGAATGATGTATATGCACTTTACAAAGATGAGCCGAAGTGAAAAATACCCCGTAAGAAGTTTGACATTTTTTTACTCTCTTTCTTTCGTTACGCAGAAGAATTTTCAATTGATCTTATTCAAATTATATTCTGAAAGTCATTTATATAAAAAAATGTTACAGCTGATTTAGACACGAGTAATGCTGTGGAAATCATGCGGAAGTTGTATTTGATATACAAGAATTGCCGAAAATTACACAGCGAAGTTTGCTGCAGTTCGACGCCATATTTGAATAAATTGTGGTGCCTTGGAGTTTAATTAACTCGGTTGATGGAAGGGGAGGTGAAGGGATTAATATGCACCCTTCACTAATGCTCCCTTTATTAATGCACCCTTCACTACTGCACCCTTCACTAATGCACCCTTCACTAATGCACCCTTCACTAATGCTGTCTCTTATACACATCTAGATGTGTATAAGAGACAGGTACACGTAGACCCCTGCTCTGTGTGAGTACACGTAGACCCCTGCTAAGTGTGAGTACACGTAGATCCCTGCTAAGTGTGAGTACACGTAGACCTCTGTTCTGTGTAAGTACACGTGAGCATCAATTATCAAATTTTTTTGAAATTCTCGAGTCTATATTTCGACGTATAAATGTTCATTCGACATTTAAGTGTTCATGTCGCTGACATTTACAACCGCAATGCATTGATCTGATATGAAATGATAATGATAATAAAGTATAATCAATGCACTGGATGTTCTACACGATGATTTGATTGATTTTATAAATCAATCGGAATCCAGAATTTTACTTGAAAAAAGAAATAACGCTTTTAACGCTTTTATACGAAATAACGCTTTTTTAACGAAGGTTTAATAACGCTTTTAACGAAGGTTTAACGAAGGTTTAAGCAGTAGCATAAGATAATATTCTTCACATTGTATTGAAAATTAATGTTGAGTTGTATGCGGACAAGCAACCTTGTGCGTTATTCTCAACATTAACATTCCTCTAAAGAATGCAAATTTTTGGTGAATAACATTCTTGATCGTCATCCATCACATGAGCTTGCACGCTTGTCCATATTCAGCAGCAATTTTATTCACTGCAGTCGCAGTTTAACATATTTCTGCGTCTGATGAATAGGTTATCGACGAAATGATCTTGATGAATATAGTTCAGTATACCTTCGTTGGGTAATAAATCAGAATTATTAGAGGTGCCTTTGCCTTGCGAGGTTTCTGGCTTTGCTGAGTAAATCGTGCGCACTGAGAAAATCTGTTCTACGAATACGAATCTGTGAGTGAGTGCAGTTCGTTGATTTATTCTTTGTTTATGTGGCGTGGCCAGCATGATTATTCTTTGTTGGAAAACTGGCTATTCAGCTTGAGAAGATGCGAAAAGATTACTCGGTCGATCTAGCAAATAAGCTAACATAATGAGGCTACTGGTATTTGAAGAAGGCCGCAGTGCTCATACCAATTTGTCTTGATGCACTGTCTTGTCGCAGTGTTTTATAGACTTTTAGAAAAAATCAGGAATTATTATTCCGAAACAAAATTCGACGATAAGATATGGTTATAAGAGTGCAGGTCATAAAGAAGGAAGTTGATTTACCATTGGAATGAATACGCCATGTTAGGTAAATTCTGACCATGGTATCCTAGATTTCATGTTGCGGTCACGCTCTAGCGCTGAATTTTATTTAAATATTGTAACGTATTAAATATTGTTCGGATAATTCAAAGAAATTTCATTTTAATTTCCCAAATCATTAAATATTCAATAAACTTCTTCTACTAATATACCAACAGGTCAATGTGTCACCTCTTGCCGCACCTCAGCCACATGCTACGGTGTGGCATACGGCCCCATGTACGCCACATCGGCCACCCTCGCCACCGGCACACCCGGCGTCTGCCACATAGCCACGCAGCCACAGGTGCCGTCCGGCCTCGCCAACTACACCGGCTACATCGCCCTCATCCGCGGCAGGGTCGACTCGGGTGCGTGACGGTTCCTTTATACTTTTAAAAAATTCCTTACTTTTTTACAGTTTGTCATTTATCATTTACTAAAAAAGAAATATTTTTTAAACCACTTTTTATTTTTAAAGCACTGTTAATATTGATTAATTTGACTCAAGGAATATTAGGTCAACCCGCTACATACATGCGGGTCATACATGCGGGTCGACCCTCATCAGCGGCAGGGTCGACTCAGGTACGTGAGGGTTCATTTATACTTTAAAACCGTCCTTATTTTTTTCAAATTCAGTTATTCAACCCGCAACAGAGCATGAATAATGACTTAAGTCAACCCGCAACAGCGACCTCATTTTTTCGACATTTTCAACGATTTGAGACTAATAATGACAAATTGTACTTTCGAAAACACGTTTTACTTTCTATCAGTTTACCCGTGGAAAAATATATGAACTAGATTGATTAGAATAGTTCGTTCAACTGCGGTAGAGTGTACACATGCCAAAAGCTATATTTTAACCTTTAAACACAATGAATTCTATCAATAATATTAAATTTTCGAAAGCAACTGTTGACATACAACTCATTCGACCGAAATAAAAATTAACTAACTCCAGGGGCTACAGCTCTCTCATCCGCGGCTCAGTGCACAGTATGCAACACAAGGCTTCATTTAAATATCTTCGAGCTTTTGTTACATTTTCGTGTTAATTTTTAGAATATAATTGCTATCATTTTTTACTGGTATAATTGGGAAACAAGAGACTTGAGTAACGCTTTTTCATACTAATGATATTCTCTCAGTTATTTTAAATAATAATTTTCTGGAGCAATAATCTCCTAAATCGCCGTATAACATCGCACAAACCTGCATCAGCGGGACTATTTGTTAACAAATTCAGGATAGTCTTTAAATGAGCCCAAATCGGAACTGTCTGGGGAAAAAACATAACTACTTTTTGCAAGGACATAACTACTATACATAACTACTTTTTGCTAGGAAGTTAAAGATTTTACATCAGTTTTTTTTACATCATCAGAACGATTGGACATCACTGAGGGAGCATGTTATTTACATATGACAGCATTTTTCTATATTATTTAGTTTACCCTAAATGCGTATGTGAATAAAGGGGTAATAGAAAATTTAAAAATATCTTGATTCTAAAACGAAAATAAATTTAGCTGTAAATTCATTTTACCTAATTTTACACGTTTGATTCAAGGCAACTCTATAAAATGCAATCTTTTTTCTTAAGTTTTCAGCTGAAGGTAATTTATATTTTGGGTTGAAGGTTGCGACGAGATCCTTGGCTACGAGAAGCTTGGTGCAGCGGGCTGCATTTGGTTGTCAGACGTCACCCTTGACCGGGACTCCGGGCGAGCCGCGTGCAAGACAAGGGGGGGTGACTTGGCAGTTCTTGACACGACTGACAAGTACGACGCTGTTGCCAAGCAGCTGCAGGCTATACGTAAGACACATTTCTTTTTACAACACTTCTCTTTAACTTCACTTCTTGTCTGTTTGTCTGTCTGTCTGTCTGCTACAAATCTTGTAATCGAAATTTAATACACTTCTACTCATCCTATCGATCTGAAATTTTGCACACTTGTGTAAAGTTGGAGACAATGCATGAATCAAATGTCAAAATAAATTATTTTAAAATGAAAATTTTTTTTTTCAAAATTAAAAAATTGAAAAAATAATTTTGTCAGCTCCAAATCTTGCAACTGATATTTGACACACTTTTACCTGTCTAATTGATCTGAAATTTTGCACACTTGTGTGAAGTCAGAGGCAATGCATGAATCAATTAACAGAATAAATAATTAAAAAAAAAATTATATGTAAAAAAAATTTATATATTTAAAAATAATTGAAAAGTTAATTTTTTTAATTTTTGAAAATTAGATGAGAAATTCATGGTACATCTGTAAGATTGGAGATACTGGATTCTTTGGAAGTGTTGTCTTTAAAAAGTAATTTTTAAACGTATATTATTATATTATAATTCATTATATCGCTACACTCTGTGATTTTCACATTAATTATAGAAGTTATAATGTATTGTATATGTATAATAGGTCATTCAGGTCAATTAAATAAATGATTTGGCGAAAAATTTAGCGTATCTAATAATCATTTTACAGACGAGCTAACAATGTACCGCCCTATGACAGTGTAGCTCAGTATATCTTCTGGTACAGTGTAGCTCAGTGTATTTGTTGGTACAGTGTAGCTCAGTGTATCTGTTGGTACAGTGTAGCTCAGTATATTTGCTGGTACAGTGTAGCTCAGTATATCTGCTGGTACAGTGTAGCTCAGTATATCTGCTGGTACAGTGTAGCTCAGTGTATCTGCTGGTACAGTGTAGCTCAGTGTATCTGCTGGTACAGTGTAGCTCAGTATATCTGCTGGTACAGTGTAGCTCAGTATATCTGCTGGTACAGTGTAGCTCAGTGTATTTGTTGGTACAGTGTAGCTCAGTGTATTTGCTGGTACAGCGTTTCTCAGTGTATCTGCTGGTACAGTGTAGCTCAGTGTATCTGCTGGTACAGTGTAGCTCAGTGTATTTGTTGGTACAGTGTAGCTCAGTGTATCTGCTGGTACAGCGTTTCTCAGTGTATCTGCTGGTACAGTGTAGCTCCTGTCTCTTATACACATCTAGATGTGTATAAGAGACAGAGTGTACACATGCCAAAAGCTATATTTTAACCTTTAAACACAATGAATTCTATCAATAATATTATATTTTCGAAAGCAATTGTTGACATACAACTCATTCGACCGAAATAAAAAATTAATTAACTTTAGGGGCTACAGCTCTCTCATCCGCGGCTGAGTGCACAATATACAACGCAATGCTTCATTTAAATATCTTCGAGTTTTTGTTACATTTTCGTGTTAATGTTTTTTTTAAAGGCCTCCCACACTCACCATTCCAACAAAAAAAAAAAGAAGAATTGATTTTATTAATTAAAAACCAGGGAATGGTTTCATGTTTAGAAGATAATTGCTATAATTTTTTACTGCTATAATTGGGAAACAAGAGACTTGAGTAACGCTTTTTCTTACCAATGATATTGTCTCAGTTATTTTAAATAATAATTTTTTAATTTGATTTTTTTCAATAATTTTTTTATTTATCTCCTAAATCTTCGTAACATCGCACAAACCAGCATCAGCGGGACTATTTGTTAACATATTCAGGATAGTCTTTAAATGAGCCCAAATCGGAACTGACTGGGGAAAAACATAACTACTTTTTGCAAGGACATATCTACTGAACATAACTACTTTTTGCAAGGAAGTTAGAGATTTTACATCAGTTTTTTTACATCATCAGAACGATTGGACATCACTGAGGGAGCATGTTATTTATGACAGCATTTTTTCTATATTATTTAGTTTATCCTAAATGCGTATGTGAATAAAGGGGTAATAGCAAATTAAAAAATGTCTTGATTCTAAAACGAAAATAAATTTAGCTGTAAATTCATTTTACCTAATTTTACACGTTTGATTCAAGACAACTTTTCAAAATGCAATCTTTTTTCTCAAATGTGTATGTGAATAAAGGGGTAATAGCAAATTAAAAAATATCTTGATTCTAAAACGAAAATAAATTTAGCTGTAAATTCATTTTACCTAATTTTACACGTTTGATTCAAGGCAACTCTATAAAATGCAATCTTTTATCTCTAGTTTTCAGCTGAAGGTAATTTATTTATTTAATTTATATTTTAATTTAATTTAATTTATATTCTGGGTTGAAGGTTGCGACGAGATCCTTGGTTACGAGAAGCTTGGTGCAGCGGGCTGCATTTGGTTGTCAGACGTGACCCTTGACCGGGACTCCGGGCGAGCCGCTTGCCAAGCAAGGGGGGGTGACTTGGCAGTTCTTGACACGACTGACAAGTACGACGCTGTTGCCAAGCAGCTGCAGGCTATACGTAAGACACATTTCTTTTTATAATATAATTCATTATTTCGCTACACTCTGTGATTTTCATATTAATTATAGAAGTTATAATGTATTGTATATGTATAATAGGCCAATTAAATGAATGATTTGGCGACAAATTTAGCGTATCTAATAATCATTTTACAGTCGAGCTAACAATGTACCGCCCTATGACAGTGTAGCTCAGTGTATCTGCTGGTACAGTGTAGCTCAGTATATCTGCTGGTACAGTGTAGCTCAGTGTATCTGCTG